AGGAGCTTCCATATTGTAGAGGAAGGTGACTGGCTGGCAGTTGGATGGGATCGCCCCTTTCATGATCAGGACTGTCCAGCCTTGTGTCAACCACTCTGGGTGGGACCTTCCATTAGCAGCTGGTTCATCTGTGCAGCTACTAGCTAGGTGTTCATGGAGAGCAGCTTCTTTAGCCAGTAGATGTGGATCATGACAGGCCGGGTGCAGCCCAGCTCTTCACTCCTGAGTCTCCATTTCTGAGGTCTGCCAATGTAACGAGCACTGGATCCTGTCCTGGGACTGGTCAGCTCTCAGATCTTGTAGCCATGGGGCATCATTGTGTGATACCTCCCATATCTTTCTCCAGTATTGCCCAGTCTCAGCTCTGTGTGGACCCGCTCTCTGGTGGCTGTTTTACCCGTCTCTTTCTATAGACAGAAGACAAGATAGTATTTTGTTTTTTCACAAAACGAGACATTTATTCAAGTGTTCTCCAGCACAAGTACATACAGAGCCTTTATCTTCTCTCTGGACACTAAACATAAGTATAAGGAGGTGTCAACGTGGAGAATGGCTGCTACATTTGCTGTACAAACTGGTTTTTGAGGAAAAACGTAAAGGCCATAAAACAGTTATAAGAAAAACAAAGCCACAGAAAGCATTGACAGTATCATCAAATATTGAACAGTAAAAAAAAAATCTTTGCTGGTAAAAACAAACGTATATGTATAAATTCAAAGCAACATTCTGAGAACAAACCTGGAGAATATTATGCTATGGAATGTAGAATAAACAAGTGTTTAAGTGTACAGTATGCTACAGTAAAGGTTATTACTGTTTTTTCTCACAATTTTCCCACAGAAAAGCACCAACTACAGCAATCTCTAGTCTAAAACAATAAAGGAAACCTTTCAATATTGTTTTCCTTACTTTTTTCAAGTACAAAGTTAAAATGCCTTTGTTAATATATTTGTATGAGTGAAATAACAGTTCTTTTCCACTACAAGGAACTCAAACAGTCATCGTCAAGACATTATTTCTTTTCCAATCAAATATATTTTTTCTTGATTAGATAAAATGTTTAGCACCATTGAAAACACCTACAATCCCTCTTACTTTAAACGTTACAAAAGCTAAAAGAAGTGAAAACAAAAGCGTCATCTATGTAGGGCTGTGCGGTGAAGCTGAAACCATCGTCCTTAAAGCTGCTCACCGGCTGACGCTCACCTCACAACATCACATCTGGATTCACTGGACATGAAACAATCTATATGCAAGAGCCGACTTACGTCTAATGTTTAAAGCAAGTTCAGAGTCAAACTGCTCACTATCTTTTTTTAACCTAAGAGTTTCTGTTCTGATAATATATATTAGCAAAAAATTATATTTGTACAGCCTATATGAAAAATAAAAAAAGACAAAACCAAATGGAAAACGGCAACCAGTAAACTATTTACAAAATCTAAAAATGTACAAACATGAAGGGATGTTCTGTGTTAGAGGAGACGATGACTCGAGGTTCAAAGGTCACAGAGCACGTGCGCCTCCTCCTCGAGTACAAGAAACGACGGCGATCATCGCTGTGGGAACGTTTCAGTAGGGAGGTCGCTGAGGGCACGAAGAATGTCCAAACACAAGCAGTGAAACGCATCCAGTGCCTTTTTTCTATCCGATTCAAATATGCTGTCATTTCTATGAAATTATAATAATTATCTAATGTTAATCTGAGCACTTTGTGGGGGTTGGTAAATCCTGTTTTGCACACAGATATATAATAATAATGAAGATTTATTAAACTATAGTTTCAAAATATCATCAGAATTTAAACTCTTGCAGCACTAATCAAATCTATTTTTATTGTTAATGCGTTAAAATGTATATTATGGTCATTTTTGAGATGATGCTTCATTTAATATACAGTAGCTTATGAACTGTGACATCAGTCAGGAGTTTAGTTTTTTAGCTGGGCTAGGCTAACGGCTAGCCAAATAAGGTTCGACAGCTCAATCATCCAGGTAAATAAATCAGAAAAAAAAGTTAAATCATAAAATCTGGACAGTTTCTTTTGTGAGGAACGTTTTGTCTTTCTTCTGAAAGACTTGGTCAGTCTGAGGCCTGCCAACAGGATGTGTCTTATAAATAGCGCCTCCTTGACGAGTTTGAAGCCAGCCTCCCGTTGAATTCACAGAAACTGGCCTTTAACACGTGCACACTTTTCTGTGAACTCCACAGCGGGCTGGCTTCAAACACGTCAAGGAGGTGCTATTCATAAGACAGATCTGGGCGGCAGGCCTCAGACTGACCAAGTCTTTCGGACGAAACGTTTCTCCAAAAAACAAACTGTCCATATGTCACAATTTAAACTTTTTCTGCGGCTAGCCAAAAAGTTGTTTCTGGCAAACCGTTAACCTTTTCTCCATACTTGTTACTGATAAGGTCTTGAGAGAACACCCCTTCAAAAATGAGCGGACGATCCCTTTAACTTTGTTTTTTCAACAGGTATGACCTCTGGCATCCATCAGGAGGTGCTGCAGCACCCCCCACACCCATACTTCCCACGGCCTTGATGGCAATAAGGTCACTTAAGAAAATAATTACAGTAAGAAATAAAAGTTGAATCTTAAAATATGATACAGACGAGCGATAACATCAGCTGTCGTCACTTTTGAGTGCTTTCAAACACTTTGTCAGTTTTTTGTTTTGACAAACTGAATTCTCCAGATTCATCTTTTGAGTGTACAGTCGGGAGAATTTTGTTTGTGGATGTGATCCAAATTTAAATCAGAGCTAAAACAACAACAAAACTCAACATGTAGCAGTAGCTGAGGCCCCGCTGTCCTTCACAAGGCAGACGAATACAACACAAATCAGACGATCCAGTTCTTAAACTGACGCGGTCTGATATTTTACAATCTCAATCAAAAGACATTCTGAGTTTGGATGGTAACTTTTCGTGTGGCTGCTTCAACACAGAGCACAATATGAACGACAGGTGACAGGAAAAGAAGTTCTGGATTACAAACAGGAGCTTCACGAAGCATCCAAAGCCATACTTGCACTTCTATTGGCACAGCCCTACTTTAATACAAAACGCACGCGTAGATCAGTTCACATCATCGAACTAAACAAACAAAAACACACATTTAAAAAAGAATCAAAGTAAAAGAAAGTATACATATAAAAGTGCTTTATATTGTTGATAAAACAGCACAAAATTGCTATAAAAAGGTAGAAGAAGTTTGTGAAGCTGCACCGTGTTGGAGATTTGCACCTGACAGGTGGATGTTGAGGAGAACGCCGGCTGCTTCACATCCACCCAGCACCCGCGCCTAAAACAGCCGTACAGTAACATCACTGAGGATGAAGCTAGAAAACGTAGCTCACCGCAGACTTTGATCTCAAAATGTTTTTTTTTTTTGTTTCTTTCTTTTCTTTGTTTTTTCTTCAGATGACAGAAAGCATCACTCCCCGTGTGGCCAGCTTCCCTCTGTGCAGACCCAGGCTGTGCGCCCGAGAGCAGCAAGGCTGAGGGGATCACCGAGCACCAGCAGAAACAGTAGAAAAGCTCTGAGAGGACCGAGTCAAGTCTCTCGCTCGTGTTTCCTCTGAAATAAACACTATAAATGTAACAAAACAGTTTCCAGCAACAGGTTAACGAGCTCCGTACTGTCTAAAGTTGTAGTGCCACACGAGTTATGATGCTTCTGATCATCCTGGAGCACCATAGTATTGTCACCATATTACAGTAGTACCTTTAAACCTTCAGTTGTGAATAGAACCTGCAAACAAAGAGGTAAATGTGATCCGGTGGTTTGGATTTTCAGAGACGCAGTCCTCCTGACACTGAAGGAAATCCCGTCTGAGGCTCAGTAGCTGGAAGAACGGCTGCACGGCGGGAGCTGCAGCCCTGACACACACATCCTGATAAATGTACTCATGACATTTGTGATTGTAATAAAGACGTAGTCTGGTTGTTCTGAAACGATCTGCTGTCAAATAATTAGCACCTTATCGGTCACAGAGCACAGAACATGGGCTGAAGGACAGAAGTGAGGACACGGTCAAATAGTTTGTAAGTTTTATCTCTTATCACCAATGACACCAGTGTGAATGCTACATTAATATTGACCATCTGGACTTTTGCACGACACATTTTGTTTCATTTGTCTCTATTTTCACAAATAAAAACTGTCCGTACCTGAAAGTCGTTCTTCTGACACTGCTCAAGCCCACACAGAGCATTTCGATACATATCTGATAACGTCTCTCATCGTTGAAGTCAGAGTCCGGCTGAACCCGGTTCATGGAAGCTGTTGTGTTGGATTTTTGTAACCAGAGTCTGCTCAGTGACGTTGCGAGGCTTTAACCTCTGCATATTCCACTGAACACAATCATGGTGTCACGGGATCGTTCTTTGAAACATCAAACTACTAATTACAGTGAAAAATGTTTTTTTTTAATTAATTACTTCATCAAGGGCAATGTTCTGTTGGTTTACACAGAGGGGGGCTTTAACTTCCATGTTCTGGTCAAATGTCTACAAAGTCTAAGTTTACTGAACTCCTGGTGGACTGATACGTTTAGCAGCCTAATTCAGATATTTTATTTTGAAGAAAGTATGCTAAAATAAAGTCATGCAAAAGTGTAGAGGTTCAATATTATAAATGTAGCACACATGAATGATAAAAAAAAGTATAAGCCTAAAAATCAGTTTAAAAAAAAGTGTGTGTAGGGGGGGCCTGATTTGGACAAAGACTTCTGACTGCGCCTCTCTCCACATCCTGTGTTCTGTGATACAACTCTAACTATTTGACAGACCGTCCCATTAAAAATGACCAGACCATCCCTTTAACTTCGCGTATACGTGTTCAGCACCTGTATGTCTCAGTGTCCTAAGAAGAAAGCATAGTCTCAAACATAGCTTGCACAAACAATAAAAATGCTAATAAAGGTCAAATAAAACATTAAATAGAACAGGAGTTACAATTCAAAGGCAAGAAAAAAACGTGAAATCTACGTCAATGTGTCGCGTCTTCTGAGGACCAAGGCTCTTGTTACTCGTCACCACATACGGTTGGAGGTCCACACTGGCTCTGAAAAACTTGCGCTGCTCCTCAGACGCGGGCGAAGTAATCCTTAAGTGGTGCGAACAGGTGGCGGATGACGGGGACGCTCCAGGATCTGCCCAGGAGCCTCTGCCTCGCCAGCCGGCTCATGTTGGACACGTCCGTGTAGTGGACGGGGAAGCCAAATACCCTGAGAGCAACCACAACACCAGACAACCACACAGACAGGAAGTAAACATCACAAGGCAAACAAGCGGTACGCTGAAGTCCCCCGTCACTGAGGGCTTTGAAATGTTTGTGGTTTTAGAGATGAAGGTTTCAAGTTTTTAATTTATTTGACAGGGAATGCAAGTTAAAATGTTTTTAGTGCAAAATATTCAAGTGAGCAGAAGTTACCAGAGATAAGGTGCAATGATGGAGCCAGGGGGTGGCCAATGGTGGCCTTGGCCTCAAAAGATTATTTTTTGGCCACCCCAGTCATTGAAGGAAACTATACTTTTAATAACATAAAAACAAAAACGCATTGTTTCCACAAACGATAGGGGTGGTCAGTTTACATACATGTATGTTGGTGACCATTCAGAACTTTGATGAGGCTCCTCACTTATTGTGGCGACCTTTCACATGCTCACAACATGCACAGACGGATAGACAGACTGAGGGTATTTCCACTTCCCCCTCTTGGCTCAGCGACGGGGAACAAAATGCCACGGTGGTATTAAGATCTCAGAACGACGTCTTAGGTGCGATTCTTTTGACATACCTCTCCATCTCAGTGCACCAGAGTATGTCTTCTTTCTCGTTCATGTAGACGGGGAAGTGCTGGTCTTTACCCTGCTTGATAGAATTGGACCTGGTGGTGATGGTCCTCACTTTGCCAAACTTTGAAAAAGTGGATAGAAAGTATTACATCAGTGCAAAACGACAAATGAGACTTTTCATGGCCTGAAAGCAACAAGTCTGAAGTACAGTAATTAGTTTTTATTGCCCACTGATGAAGGCAAACGGACAGTGTTTATGCTTATGTGTGTTTTTTTGTTTGTTAAGCTGTCTGTTAGCAAAATATCTTGGCAATGTACATCTATAACTCACAACCTTTTGGAGTCAACCCAATTCAAGATGACTGCCACAGCCAACTGGAAACACAGTATTGGCTATAACTCAGCCAAGTTTACTGATTTTGAGCTACGACTCGGTGTGGTAGTAGCTGAGCATCATCTTCAATATACACTCCAAGTGCTACACATTGTTTTAGAACCTTTAATAAAACTTTGGCCTTTTGTCCTTTAGCAAAATATCTCATGTTCAACAACTCATTAACGTTTGGTCACCCCAGTTCAACACGGCTGCCACAGCAGAGCAAACGTAGCAAACAGTCAAATGGAGTTATCGAAGTCAATAAAACAAATGAAGCTAAACTGTTGTGTGGAGGGAGACTTCCTCAACAGGAACCTACAGCATGAACACATCCAGCTAAATCTAACCACACAATATCATTTACAAGAGGGTGCAGCTGGTAGAGCTGCCGCCTCTCAGTGAGAAGGTCGCCGGTTCAAATCCTGGCGGGGATTAAATCAGACTTCTGTTAACTTCATGTACCTTCGCTGTTCTGCCGTGCTCCAAACAGTCCTGGAGGTCCAGCTTGTCAGAGCACATGGCTGTCAAAGGCCTGCAGAGAGAAGTGGACCTTTCATGTTTATCTTGTCTTATGTTGCGTCAACATTCACACTTTTATTTTTGTGTTTAGTTTTTTGTTATTGTTGCTTCGTCGCAGTTTTCCCACTGACCTGTTCATCCCGGGAAGGTTACCCCAGAAGTAGCGGGCGCGGTGGGCAGCAGACACCTCCTTAGCATCGATCATCACTGGGTTACACTGGGAGCAGAACAAACAGCAGTCAGACTGAGGGAGGATACGGTACAATGTGGCTGTCAATCAAAGAAAACCATAGACAGGTGAGATTAACGTGGTCAATAAGTTTTTTAATTCTTCAGAACCCAATCACTTTAAGATCTTTTGGGGCCAAAATGCAAAACGGCGACGGAAAGGCACTACATGGAAGCCGATCAAAGCAGCACATTTAAAGTGGAATCGACTTGAAGAGTCACTGTGTTCGGTCCCAGCTCTCCTGCCGTCTCTGATCCTGTTAACCTCGACTCGCTGCAGCCATATCCTACACAGTCTGTTACAGATCTCAGGATGGTTTCAGACTCCGACTTTAAGTTTAATAAACAGATTAACTCTGTTCTGCAGGAAACCTTCTTCCAGTTACAGCAGATAGCTAAGCTCAAGTCCGTGCTGATCAGATCTTTTTACTGTGGTGTATTGTTGTCATGGTTACTGTTTTGTTGTCTGTACTTTATATGTTCTGTCTGGAACAGGTACCTCCTGTAAACGAGTCCCCGTGGCTCAATGAGGCCTGTAGAAATAAAGGTTGAATGAAAAAGAATCTGACCTTGAAGAACTAGTCCTTATTACTACCTGGCTGGACTGTGCCCCTTTCACGTCTCCAGCTCGTCCAAAATGCTGCAGCTCGGCTCTTAACAGGAACTCGTAGGTTTGAGCATTTTACCAGTTTTGTCCTCCCTTCACTGGCTCCCTGCACGTATCAGAATAGATTTTAAAATTCTCCTGCTGACCTTATTGGCCGTGCACCCTCATGTCTCTCTGAGCTACTTCAACTGTATGCGCCTTCTCGGGCGCTGACATCATCTGACCAGCTGCTTTTGGCTATTCCAAAAACACGACTGAAGCTCAGGTGATCAGTCGCAGGTCCTAAACTTTGGAAAAACCTGCCGCCCGACATGAGGCGGGCCACTTCACTTCCTGTTTTTAAATCTCTGCTTTAAACACCGGTTTTCTCTGGCATTTCACACAGTGTGAGCTGATTTAGTCTTCTATTGTTCTCTGTTTTTCTTTTGATGCTTTTAATCAAGTTTTCAGTACTAATCATTACTTTTATTTTTATTTAATCAAATAAAGTACTGCCATAGGTTTTTATTGTTAAGCACTTTGGTAAATGCTGCTGTTTTAAATGTGCTTTATAAATAAAGTTGAGTTGACTTGAAGAGTCAGTGCCCCCCCAGGATCCACGTGATGAGAACAGATTCCCACCACCAGGGGGCATTCATAACCTGGCGTCACCTCATACACAGGCTCAGCTGGTGGGAAAGCATACCTCTAAAAAGCGAGATATGTCCCTCTTGTCACTGACGCCCATGGCCACCACATTCTCAAAGAGCCAGAAGAAAGGCCGGCTGTCCCCCTCCTTGGGCCGAGCCTCGTGAAGCAGCCGGTAAAACTCAAAGAAGAGGCGACCGGTTCCTTCTGTGAGGAGAAAAAACATTAAGGGGCATGACCTAATGACATTCTGGGGCTTTGGACATTTAGACTATTTGGATCCAACGAGTCTACAAAACTTTACAGAATGCTATAAAGCAGGGGTGCCCGATACGTCGATCACGATCGACTGGTCGATCGCATGGCATAAAAAAGACACGTCAGCCTATCATCCATCCTCACTATGAAATGAGTCACTCTGACAGACAGGGCAGCCAATCTGAGTCCTGACCTTTTCCGACACATGGGTTAGCATGCACAAACAACCGCACCAAAAACTACCAAGCTACCGAGTTAGTTAGCCTCCAGTTTATTTCTTCTGATCTAAACTTAAGAAAGGGTATAAAATGAGAGGTGGAGCTGAACCAAGTCAGAAGAAAAAACTATCATTTCCATACGGAATGGGAGGAGGACTTTTTTTTTTTCATGATGTCAGTGCATTTGCCTCATCTGCACGTGTCGTGTACCACTGCTATTTAAAAGAAGGGAAACGTGGAGCGGCATATTCGGACTATTCATAAAAACTACGACGCTGACTTCCTTCTGAAAAGCAAGGTGAGAAAGAAAAAGGTGAAGGAACTAAAATCCCAGTTATCTGGACAGCAGCCATTTTTCTGACAGCTGACCACAACAGCTACCGAAGCATCAGTCCAGGTGAGTCACTTAATTGTTAAGCACGAGAAGTCCTTCCAGGATGGAGATGGTAAAAGAGACAGTTACACAGCGCTGTGAAGCCACGGCCGAGGATTTGACTCAGCTGAATAAGTGTGGACACCCCTGCTATAAAACATAAAGTGAAAGAAGTGGGTTGAACTTACCAAAAAGGCCCTTCCTAGCAGGATTGACTATTGAGAGGTCGTTGCAGGGACTCCCACCGATAACGAGGTCAAAAGGACCCCACTCCTGAATCTGTGCAGGTGTGACAAAGACACAAAGGACACACGATAAATAAACAATGTGGTATAAAACAGCACTGCATTTCTGCAGCTGCCAGGTAAAGAAGTGAAACATCATCCAGATCGTGCGGTCTGCTTACATGTTTGCGTGTGACGTTCCTCACATCGCCAACATACATGATCCGTCCCTGATGCCGGACAATTCCTACCGTGATGGAGTCTTCACACACTTCAGAGGCTACGTAGCGATCCACTTGAATGCCGAGCTCTTTTAAGACCAGGAGTCCTGCACAAGTTGTAGTCAAAGAAAGAATCTCACTGAGGACAGATCCATCACGATTTTATCAAAGATAACCGTGAAACAACGAGTCCAAACAAACAGATTAGAGCTGTTTAACTCAGTGTGTTCGTTAGTTTAACTGACTGAACTGTCCGAGGCGAGTTTGAAAGATCATTTTTAGAAACTGACATGAAAAGAAACTAGGGAATTTACAGTCAATAAAAAGGTTCGAGAGCTGAAAGACTTTAACACACTAAAACCTAAAGGAAGAAAAACATCAAATAAAAGTTAAAGGGAACAAAACTCAAATATAGCAAAAGGCTAAATAAAAGCTAAAAGTAGTAAAAGGGTTGCAAAAGCTAGCAGAATTGTAACTAAAACCTAAAATCTAAAAGTAGGAAAAGCCTAGCTAAAAGCTAAAATTAGCAGAATAGTTGCTAAAAGTTAAAAGGAGCAAAAAGCTAACTAAAAAGATGAGAACTGTAGTGAAAAGCTAAAAGTAGCAAGAGGTTATATGAAAGTTAAAATTATCCAAATTGTAACAAAAAAAATAAAAGTTGCAAAATGCCAGCTAAACATCAAATGTAGCAAAAGTTTAAATAAAAGTTAAAAGTAGTAAAGATCTTGCTAAAGCTAACAGAACTGTCTCTAAAATCAAACAGTAGAAAAAGCCTAGCTAAAAGCTAAAATTAGCTAAATAGACGCTAAATGCTAAAAGTAGTAAATGGCTAGCTAAAAAGATGAGAACTGTAGTGAAAAGCTAAAAGTAGCAAGAGGCTATATGAAAGATAAACATATCTGAATTTTAGCTGAAAGACAAAAGTGGCAAAATGCTAGCTAAAAGTAGCAGAAGGGTAAGTAAAAGTAGCATTAAAAGACAAAAATAGATCAAGTACGCTAAAGCAGATTTCAGAGATTGTTTTTGAACTGAAAAGATCCTAACGTAATTTTATGGGAAACATCCATGACACATATGTTTATAAATAAACGTAACTATTTTGAAAAGTATGAAAAAGGAAAAACACCAAATTGTTGTCACTTCCAGGAGAAGTTTGTTGTGAATTCAGACATAAAGGAGCTTCAACCTGTTGCTATGCCATCAAAGAGCGACAGCACACGGATGGGCTTCCTCCTCTCTGCCATGACGGGGGGGTAAAGCTTTGGTGGATCCTGAAATCCAACGACAGGAAGGAGAAGTGAGAATTAAAAAAATATCCAGGCAAGTCAGGAACTGATGAGTAGATTCAACTACTCACAAAATTTTGGTCGTGGTTATTTGCGAAGAAGTGCTGCAGGCGGCTGGGCCAGTCGGAGCGGCGCTCCAGCAGACCCAACGCGCCCTTTGGACAGCACATGTAGCAGTTCCACGGGTCCTCTTTGATGGCAGCGTGGGCAGCTCCTGGACCAACAAGGAGGTCCACACACTCTACACAGAAGCACCTGAACGCAACACGAGGAGATGTAAAACGTGTTGCATTAAAGCTCCAGTCACGGCGCAGAGGACAGCCAGTGATTTAACAAAAGCATGACATGTAAAGAGTCTAACAAATCACAGATCAGTTTTTAAAACATCTTGACTCTAATTATTAAAGTTAATCCTGTTGAACAGCAAAATATTAAAGCAATCACTGGATGCAATGTCAATAAAACTTCCAGGAAGTCATTTCTGTACAACTACAACTGATAAACATTTGGGTTTGATCTAATTTAAGAATACTGTCACAAACACAAAACTGGCTATATCTCAGTCAGTTCTATAATTAAAATTAGACGTGGTAGTAGCTGAGAGTCATTCACAACACGTACACTGAGCAGGACATTTTATAATATTGCATTGTTTTCAAGTCTTGACCAAAACGACGTGCACTTCTGCAAGGAACGCTCGATCTTTATTTAAAAAATGTACAACTTTTCAAAGCATTTCAGCCACAGTGCACACACGACGGTGTATGATTTATTGATCGTTCAACGCTTTTGACATAGCAACAAAGTGTCTTACGTCTCAAACACTCTGGATTCAGGTCGATGACAGAAACTAAACGGACAGTCTGACACACCCACGACAGCTGTGTCCATTTTAGATTTGTTGTGACAAGTCTACGAGCTTTGACACTCAGGCAAGAGAAATGAGAACCCCTGTGAACACTTTAATGACTCTCATGAATTCTGTTTGTTTTTACTAGAGGAAGCTACGGCAACTCTTCTGGGACAAACAGGTTAACATTAATAACATTGATTTATGACATGGGGGGCACAGCGGCACAGTTGGTAGAGCTGTGGCCTCTCATTGAGATGGTGCTTAGTATATACAGTATAGATGGTAAAAAGAATGCAGTATAACTTTACTGTGTGAACGACTGCAACATTAGTAAAGTAAAAGGCACAATGTAAGTACCAAGACTTCATGCACTCATCAACAAACTGTTAGACTGCAATCTAACAATATTTTGGAGCTGGGGTGATGAGAAGACTACACAACATGCCATGTAGTGGTGGCATGGAGTTTTGTTAAATTATCTTGGGCGGATCAGAAGTTATAGGTGGGATGAGAGAAAGTTTCCTTACAGACGGACAGGGACTACACCATACAACGGGCGTACAATAAAACATAACCCAGTACAGGTTACCTGGCCCTGAACTGGCTGGTGCTAAATTTAGTGGGAAAAACTCACCGGCAGCAGTTGTTGTTTCCACACATGAGCACCTCGCGCCCGCCGCAGCAGATCGTGCAGTACGACTGATAACCATCATCATCATACTGGTATGCACATTCTAGAAAGCAATTCTGCAGAGCACCAAAACAAATCCAGTCAGTTTATTTTACCAGCTCTTCAGTCTCATTTGGATGCAAAACCTTTGTGGGGTTGGTTTTCTGCGTACTTTGCAGCTCTGACACATCCCTCCAGCGAACAGTGGGTGCTCCAGGCTGACGTTCAGGCCTCCACAGGAGATGCAGATATCTGGAGGAAGAGGACTCAGTATTTTTACTGTCGTTATACACATCTATAGTAAAAGGAATCAGCTTTGTTGGTATAAGTACACACACGAGACCAGCCTTTCAGAGCAGGAGGCTGGAGTCATTTCCAACATCAACTCAGATGTTCTGTTGGTGAAATGTTGGTGAAGACAGACGGTTTGAGCTCTGATCACTGATGAGAATGTCTCACCAGCATCACACGCGTGGAAAGAGTTATGAAGTCATAATCTGCAGCAGCTGTCAATCAATTTGTTGAGTGAGATAACACATTTACAAGAATCTATTAAAGAATAATTTCACTATGAATTTATCTTTATTCTTTATCTTGCAGCAGTCCCAGCTGAATGCATGCAGCTCAAAAACTTCACTTTGTTTTCTGATCCAGGTCAAAGCATCATGTTGTGAACATCTGAATTTTAACTCTTTAACTTTATAACTATTCATGTTCCTCAGGAGGGAACATCATCCACATTATTTAACTGCTTAAGAAAATTATTTTAAAATATTTTCCTGTCAAAAACTAGCCAGTCTTTTATAGTCATCTCAACATGAAATAAAAAAATATCTCGTTTAAATGATTTTTATTTTATTTGAATGCTTTAAGGCTTTTTGTTTAAAAACTACGCTACAGTTTTTTTATTGACAAAATATAAATTTTAGGGTAATTTATTTAAAAAAGGGGTATTTTCCTCCATTATTACTCTCTGTGGGTCAACATCCACATCCTCCTCTGTTCTCCAGAGCTCAGAACTGATGCTTGGTTCTGTTGGTCCAGTCAGAGCAGGTCTGGACCCCCTCCTCTGCAGAGTCAGACCTCCTGGAGGGGCTCAGTGCTCTCTTCCTCTTCTAAAACAAATCATGATCACCCTCTTCATCAACAAAGTCCTCACTAACAGACTCGGACTGTTTTTCTCCTTCATGATGCTCTCCTCTGTCTGAGAGGTTCTGACTCCGGATCCGTCCTCCTCTGGGTCTGCAGCTCCGTCTTCTCACGTTCAAAAATTGTCTCTGACAGACCTCTCTGAATTTCTCACAACATTCTTCCTTCTTCATCTTCCACCATTTGGTCTTCTTCTCTGATTTGACTCTTTTTCTCTTCTTCACAACAACAGTCATTCTACACACAACCATCCGATGCTGTCTGGCCACGCCCTCCCCTGCCACAACCTTACAGTCTCCAATCTCCCTCAGGTTTCCTCTTCTACACAGAATGTAGTCGACCTGCGTACTCCTTCCTCCACTCTTATAGGTCACTCTATGCTCCTCCCTCTTTTGGAAACAGGTGTTGACTCCAGCCATTTCCACTCTCTTGGTGAAATCCACCACCATCTGTCCTTCCTGGTTTCTTTCCTTGACACCAAACCTACCCATCACTTCCTCATCCTCTGTTTCCTTCACCAACATGTCCATTCAGGTCTGCTCCCATCACCACTCTCTCCTCCCTGAGAATACTCTCCATCACTTCATCCACATCTTTACAAAATGTATCTTTCTCCTCCACATCACATCCAACATGTGGAGCATAACCACTGACAACATTTAGCATCAGACCTTATACTTCTACCTTCAGACACATCACCCTATCTGACACTCTTTTCACCTCTACTACATTCTTTACCAACTCCTCCTTCAGGACCACCCCTACTCCATTTCTCTTTCTATCCACACCATGGTAAAACAGTTTGAACCCTGCTCCTATGCTGCGAGTCTTGCTGCCCTTCCACTTGGTCTCTTGGACACATAAAACATCTACCTTCCTTCTCAGCATCATGTCAGCCAGCTCTCTACCGTTGCCTGTCATTGTCCCCACATTTAGAGTTGCAGCCCTCAGTCCTACATGCTTGAGTTCCCTCTTCTCCTTTGTCTCCTGACCAAATGTAATGTTTATGTTTATTTTCTTGATCGAGAGAGCCTCTTTACTCCAACTGGATACGTTGTTAACATGTTTATCCAGGTGCATGTTTTGAAGCATACAAGTCATTTGCAGCCTGGTCTGGCTGGTTCTTTCTCCAGCAGACAGCCATGAGGAGCAGCCTGACAGGACAGGAAGCGCTAGCTACAATTCTGCGGTCCTGAGGAGAGCGAGCAGGATGAGGAAGATGTTAGTACCAGTGAAGAGTCCTCTGAGGGGGATCACGGGAGGAATTCATGCCAATTACAGAGAAGCCAAATATTCCACTTTGCACCTCATTTTTGAAAAACAAAACAAAACAAAAACAATGAAAGAAATAATAAAAAAAAAATCAACTTTATTTCTGTAAAGTTTAAAGTTACTGAAAAGATGGGAAGAAGTGGAAATAAAAAAAATATATAATATACATCATATTTTTATTGGATTTTCATATGCGGGCCCATTTTGTGCCCAAAGGTGTTAAATGTGTAGTGATTTTTAAGGTGCCTCAAGGGTTAACTCTAATTCCTGTGGATGGGTGAATGAATCCTGATAAAAACTCAGAGGAAACAGCACTTACCCTCAATACTTCGGGATTTTTGTCTCACTTCATAAACCAGCCGCTCTGAAAATAAAATCAAATAAAATGTGCATAATGTTTTGAAGGTTTGACCAAAGTGGCTCCAACTTGTCAACATGAGATGATCTAATTCTAAAGGTGGCGTGCAAGGAGCATCTCGGACCGATCTGCTCACCTCGTGTTCGTTCGTCAACGATCTCCTTGACCTTGGGTTTTTCCACGGTGTTCTTGCGAGGCTTTTTGGCTGGAGGAGGCGTGTAGGCTGCGGCTTCTGGTTCAACCCACATCTCAGGGTAAACCTCTGAGTTACGCTCCTCTGGGGCACGCAAGCGAATAAAATTAAAACAATGACTCTGAATTATTCATTGGTAATATGAGACACGACACACGATACGTATAAAGTCAAAGATCAAACCTCTACGTACCCTCTGCTGGCTCGAGGCCTCTGGGTCCAGTGGGCTGAAACCCGGTCATCGCCCACTCGATCATCTGCTTGTTCAACATTTCCACTGATTTGGAGGTTTCTGTCTCGTCACTGTCGGGGCACGTCATAAAAGTTTTTCCTGCTCGGCTGCTGGCCACCTGCAAACATTTACTTTTGAAGTCAGTCTCATTTTTGAAGTCTACTAAAGCTTAGCAACTTTAGCAAACACAAAAACGTTAACTCATAATTAGCTCTACAGTCTGACAAGAACAAAGACGACCAGTTTGTTCACAACTATTATGGTCACATACAAACAGGGCTGCTTACATCGACTGTCAAAATTTTAAGCTAAGATCTAGTACAGGCACCCTCAAATGGCGGGTCTAGGCCTGAATCCGGACCGAGTGATGGTTCTGTCTGGACCCGTGCTCGATCTGATAAATTCAGGAAAACAGATCATTTTTATGGATCATTTTTCCAGTGATAGACAGTTTAGACGCAGAGCCCAGCAGAGACGGGGAGGTGCGTTTTGGAGGTTACCTCTACTCCAGGTATTACAGTAATAGCTTCACTCAGATGAACCAATCAAATCTTTTGTTTTCAATTCAAAAATACTTTATTAACCAGAGGGAAACTAAGTGTTGTCATAGCTCATCAACCTGGTTTCATTCAAGAGTTGTTAGATGCTGATAGCTGTGGGCAGGTCAGGTACTCGAGCACCGCCTCCAGGTTGATGGGAATTCATCCGCGGCGTCTCCTTTTCAACTCATTTGGGATTTGGGGCTGTAGTTGATGTATTTGAGCTTTTGAGATGTTAATCAGCTGCTCCAGAGTAAATAATCATCCCAGCACGGATAATTTCCCTGCGCGGCCGGTGCAGCGAGCTCACCAGCTAAATAAATAATTAAGGTTTTTGCTAGTTTTATGTGCCAAGCTGGTTTATCTTTAAAATCATATTTACCAGACTGACAGACTGCCTTAAATAAGATTCAGTTTTAAAGATTTCAGTTCGCGTAGTGAACAGTTGAGAAGAGCTCGAACACACACGCATTTATTTAAGGAATATTGGGCATATATTTTATTCATCAAGAATGCTTTGAACATTTTTTCAAACAATGTCTTGATTGCAAAATATCACTAGAATCTATAAACTGTAATAAAAAAGCACCTACATGGTGTTTTGAGTGAACCACAGCATTAACTCACCTGCAACACTTCATAGATTGCTTTTTTGTACATAGGCTGTTTGTTGTAAGTTGGTTGGTGAAAGGCATTATTAAAGGAACTTAAAGGCATAAGCTTCTCCACACAGACCTGGGAAAACAAACAAACAAACAAACAAACAAAAGTATAATTTTTGCAATGAAATGTTTGGATGTTAAAAATGTTAAAGACAGCAATCAGTTTAGCAAATAAACAACAAAAAAAGTGAATTACAAACCTGCTCAAACTAAATTGGCAGGAAAACTTGACAGAAATATTAATGTTGGCTTTGAACACTCACCACTGAGAACTTTCCATCTCCAAACCACATGACCCATCTGGTTCCCTCAGCAGCTCTGCTCCGGCCCGTCATCCACCAGGACACGATTCGACCCGGCCACCAGGAGAATCCTCGCAGCTTCCCCCAAACCAGATCGCCAATGTCAAAACCACGACCGTCCTGCAGCCAAAAGAACACCAAGAGTCTTTGGATTAAATGTTAGGGTATCGGGGTTTTTCAAAATAAGATTGGACATGACACACAATCGGCTGATTGATGGATGGAACTTTTAGCACCTCCTGCACCTTTGTGCAGCCCATACTGCAGGATAAACTTCCTGCTGCAGCTGATCAGCTGATCTCTGTGCAGAACGTGCAAAGTGGGCGTGGCCAAGAGCACTTGCAGGTGGTTAGAGTGCAGCTGAGGCAGAGAGAGGGAAATCATGACATTCTGTATATCTCTAATAGTGAAGCTGCAGATCAAAAATTCACAAGTGCTGGCCCACTCTGATGGCTGACCTGGACTCGTACTACAGAACCATGCTGTTAAAACCTGTGCAAAATGTTCTTTGGACCGTCTTAAATAGACAGGGTCTTCCTGAAATCCAGGTAATGTCCGTTAATGTTCATCATACCTCCAGTAAGACTGGAGACTGACATCTTTTTTCCCACAGAATTAAAAAAGTGAGTTGTGAAACGATTAAACCGCTCCTAAAGTTTATAAATTTAAAGGTGTCTACCCTAATTGATAAGAATTAATATCCACTCAGGGGCAGCTGTGGCTGAGTGGTTAGAGCAGTCGTCCCCCAGTGGGAGAGTTGGGGGTTCGATTCCACAAGCAGTCACATACTGAAGTGTCCCTGGGCAAGACACTGAACCCCTCATTATCTCCAATGCGTGTCCCATCGGTGTCTGAACGTGATAAAGCTCCGATTAGTCTTTATAAATATATAGTAAAGTGCTGTATGAGTGTGTGTTGGAGGTAAATGAGGACACAGGTTGTTGTAAAGAGCTTTGAGTATCTTGAGTAAATAGAAAGGAGCTAAATAAGTACAGTACTCTAAACTATTTGTTCTTATAGTGAAGAACTCGTTGTGAAACCCTGTCGGCTTACAACGATACACAAACGGGTAAATCGTGGGCACAATGATCTTACCTCGTACTCGGGCTCAGTGTCTGCAGACTTCGGGGACGCTTTGTCCTCTCCGACGGTGCCGGGCTCCGGGGTGGTTGCCACAGTGGGGGAGGCTGGGTCAGTAGGCTGCTGTTGCTGCTGAGGAGGCTGCAGATGTTGCTGCAGATGTTGCTGCAGCTGCGGCAGAGACGACTGTTGAATCTGAGGCTGCGACAGAGACGGACTGTGCTGAGGCTTCGAAGGCTGTGGGTGTTTGATTATCGAGACGTTCTCGCTCTGAGGCCCGGTTGTGTTCTCGTTGTCCTTCATGATGTTCATCGCTGACGTTAGCTTCGCCTTTTTCTCTGCCTGAAACAAAACCAAGTGAGAACTCAAGTGAGGACGGGTCTTTTACACATGATGCTACAGGCACCGAGTGTTTTTATCTCACTGTGATGGATCGTTGGAGCTAGATGGTGATTCACATTTGTGAGTCTCCAAAGTGTCTCGAAACATTTGTGGGCGCTCTCAACGTCCTCACATCAGTTTCACCAGCGCACAGTCTAGACATTTGAATATTAAACACGTTCCCAAAAGCTGTGAGACTAGTTCATATTTTAAAATTGTTGAGTTGTTGAAGACATCTCATATTAGTTTCCACGATTTTAGATATTTATTAATAAACTAGAAAATTTCAGAAGAAATTCTAAAAGGTGCCGATGAAGCTGCTGCCAAAAATGTCAACACGACTATGAAAAAGTTGGGGGCCGAGACGGGGTAGAGACAGGGCAGCCGACTTGGGACCAGAAAGTCACGGTTCGACTCCCAGCCATGCCCACATCACCCAATCCCTAACTGCTTCCCGGGCGCCAACATAGCTGCCCACTGCTCCACCTGGCTGTAACTCAGGTGTGAAGGTTTAAGTGCAGATAACTATCAGGCCTCTAAGAGAACTGGGTACAGAAAGACATGCAGTTCAAAAGTCTTCCTCTCTGATGGTATGGGGGTGCATTTGTACCGTCATGGGCAGCCAAATAATCTGGAAAGACACCAACAGTTCAGAAAAATAGATTCAAGTTTTAGAGCATGCTCTTCCATCCAGACGTCTTTTTCAGTGACGGCTCTGCAGACGATGCTAAACCTTTGACTACATCAGCCCTTTGGTTGGCCTTGCTGCTGTTTTAAGTGTTTTATAAATAAAGTGGTGTGGTATCTATGATACTAGCATGGCTTCAGAGTAGGAGTCCAGGTGTTGAACTGGTCAGCTTGCAGTCCAGAACTCCCATCAGAAAATATTTGGCACATCGTAAAATGAAAACTCTGGCTAAAACGACCCAGGACTGTTGAACATGCAAATTCCAATACCAGTTGAGAATGGGACGATGTTTCCCTCCAAAACCTCCAGTAACGGGTCTCCTCAGCTCCTGGGTGTTTGTTAAAAGAAGAGGAAATGCTTCGCAGCGGCAGAGTAACTGATCCAGACGAGTGGAGGGAGCGATTATTTGTTTTCCATGACCAGGCGCAATGACGGAGCCAGAGGGTGGCCACTGGTGACCTTGGCCTCCATAGATTAATGATTGGCCACCCCAGTCACTTCAGGAAACTATACTTTTATAAAAGCTAAAAAGCAGTTTCCTCAAACGATGGCGTGGTCGATTGGCCTTCCTGGATTTTTCATCGCAATCCAGTTTTTGAAAGGAACCTTTCTTACATCTTCATGTACCCACATAACAAAACTGAAGCATCATATTATGCTCACAACATGCGCAGACGAATGCACGGAGGGTATTTTCCAACCCCCTCTTCACTCCACAACAGGGAAAAGATCTGTTGGTCAGTCTGTCTTTATGTCCGGAGTGTCCTGCAGTGGAGGAGTGTGACGGCAGCTGCAAAGATGTGGGCAACAAAACAATGTGCACGGCTTACAACACAGTCTTCCAAGCTTTGCACACAAAAAGGCCGTGGTTTTCCAATCTGGCTGGGTGCACAGCTCGCAGGTGTCTTTTATTGCAAACGCTCAGAATTCAGTAAGACTGTGACGGAAAATTCAAATTTTCTCACAGTTTTGTGTCGCCACCAGTCGCGGCCCAATGAAATACTGGCTCAGGTGACACCAGAATGTACAACTGAGGACAAAACTCAGCTTTTCTAAATATAACACAACCAATCTGTACTTTAATGGAAGCACAAAAATGTTCAAGGTAAATTTTCTAACGGAAATAAAAATAAATAAACCAAAGATTACTTAAGTGTAAAAATTGATACAGAAATATCAACCAAGTTAATTTACAGATACAATCCAATATTCACTGATTTTAGTGTCCAATATTTCTCCATTGCTCAGTTTTACTGCGTTAAGTTTGGAAGTTGGTCTCCAGCCCTACGTCCTGCTCCATGCAGGAGTCTGTACAACTAAAAGCTACAACACAAGCAGAGCTTAGCTGCACAACCAGGCATGCAAACGCAGAGTGGGAGTGAAAAAGCTTTTGTAAACACATTTTTATCTCTGAGCGTCAGGTCGGCTGATCAACAGCACTTTGCACAGAAACTCTATAGTACCCAGACCTGCAGCGCTGCAGAGGGTTCACCGAGTCTGTGGCACTGAAGCTCCAAGTCAATCAGCGAGGACGAGATGCAGCCGGGGTTTAAGCCTCTTGCAGCAAATCCTTGACAGCTGCACTTGCTCTGATGTCTGTCTCTCAAATAAACACGCGGTCGGACTTGCACGAACACCGACGCTTTCCTAAAACTCCTTTCTCTCCATGCGCCGCACAGCCAAACTTGTTTTCCTTGAGTTTCTCAACTTCTCGTGCTCCACCATACTGTCAAGAGATGGAGAATCAGAAAAGTGGGGAGACTGAAGAAGAGTGGTCTAATCCCAACTTCATGCTCGGTGCGACTCTTAGACCTGCAGGCGTGCCTTTAAGACGGGGCTGCCTCGATGGTGTGGAGAGGAGCTCCAGGATGGAAGAGTAGAAACATGTGCTCCTCAATCAGGAAGCTGTGGTTTATCTGTATGTAAGAGAGGATGGACGGTTCAAAGCTTTAGGCCACATGTTCTAGGCTTCTGGACTCCAACAAGCACGCCAGAGTTCATGTTCAACATCCTGCTCAGATGGTTCAGGAGGTACTAGAGGGCAAAACGTCTTGGTATCCACAATATGAACTACATGACTTACACACGTGTGGAGTAATCTGAGCTTTATTTCAGGTACATACGAACACATAATGTAGTCCACACAAATATTTAGCAGTTTGAACACAGATAAAACTAGTCTGATGTACCCCGTTGCTGAGAGGTTTGAACAGTGAATGTTTGTAGCTTTTGAGACGAGTGTTTTTCTGGACTGGAATTGAACAGGGAGTGAAAACAAACCTAAATGTTTTTGGTGCAAGACATTCAAGTGTGCAGGAGTTACACTGTGGAGAAGAACTGAGGGAAGGTTTTCTTTTGGTTCCAGGCGGAAGAGTGATGGATCCTGGCCAGCGGAGGGAGCAATGTTATCCACAATCAGGAGCAAAGGTGGGGCCAGGGGGTGGATAATGGTGGCCTTGGCCACCATTGATTAATCTTCGGCCACCCCAAGGACCACCTCAATCATTTGAGAAAACTATACCTTTAAGCAATATAAACCTAGAAAGCAGTTTCCTCAATTGATCAGGGAGTCTGGTTTACATATCACACGGTGATGATGGCCATCTTGAATTTTGACGCGACAACCCAATTTTCTATGGTGACCTTTCTTACGTCTAGATGTAGCCAAACACCAAAATAGAAGTGGGTACACCACTTTCGAACGTGCACAGACAGTATTTCCAATTCCCCTTCTTCGCTCCGGGGACAATTAGCCAACACAAAATGGCCACGCTTTAGTCAAGTGTGCAGATATTAACTTAAAATTTGTTGTGGCTCTCTCTAAAAGTAGTCTGCAACAAGTATTTAAAAATTAATATTGGCATAAGGTTTGACCCAAACAGCTACAACGCTGTCATTATTAAAAATAAAAGGATACTAGTGTAAATCTCCGGTATGAAAAGCAGCGGGTGATAAGCATTCAACCTAGAAATGCTAGACCTTTAAGTTTTTAGTTTGTCAGGAGGGTTTTATTTTTATTTTTTCTCTCAGAGTCAATGAGAAAGTGAAAATGTCAGTTGGGGGAGGAGGAAACGAGTACAGTGACTGAAGCACATATTTGTCTCTGGGCTTCTTCTGGGTTGTAAGAGTCCCCTTATGGGGGCCTCACGGAGTGTGTGTGCGCCTCCACCCACAAGACAGGCCTTCCGAGTTTAGAAAAGGAGGTAAGAGAAATACAAAGCAGCCTTTATCATTTCCACATGCCTGCCTGTTTCTGACAGCTACTTTTTATCCCCTTTCATTTTCTCACTAAGGACTTGTAGCAAAGATGACGGCAGACAAAACAAAAAAGAATCAAGTTAAATACACATTTTACAAACCGGGAAATAAAGAATACCACGGAAGACTGACGTTAGAATATTTAACGAATTTCTTCCAGAGTGAAAACAGAAGCTGCGCAGGATTGTTGCGGAGCGGAGAGACATGTTGGTTGCACAATAGAGGATAATCTGAGCGCCATGACACCCTGAGGGCTCACGGGGTGACAGAGTGCACGGGGAGGCAGAACAAGAACGCAACAGATACTCTGCGGTATGCAGATGATACTTCACTAATGGATCTGGACTGTTAATATTTAGAAACGCCAGTCCTGCTTAATCAAGCTGCTAATAATAATCCTCAGAGGGTCAAAGACTCAAAGGTGCAGCTGAAATAAGTAAGATGCTGATGCTCCCCGTCGCTGAGGGATTAGAGAATGTTGAGATTTCAAAAAGAGTGTTTTTCTGGACCGGAACTGAACACGAAATGCAAATAAACCTTAATGTTTTTGGAGCAAGATATTAAAGAGGGTAGGTGTTACACTGTGGCGATGAACAGAGGCACGGGTTTATTTGTTTTTACTTGTACGAGACAGAGCGGAGACAGATCCTGGCGAGCCGGAGCCGGAGGGTGGCCAATGGTGGCCTTGGCCACAATTAATCGTTGGCCACCCCGGTCATTTAGAGTATGTCCAATTGTCCCTATTTGATTTGGACAAAAATGCAAACATGATGGAGAGAAAAAGCATCATATTATCAGGATTTACAAATGTAGATTTGTGTCGTTAATGTGTTTTGTAATCCCCAAAAATAATCTGAGCAGTTTAAGCTCTAAAACCAACTTTACAATCTCTGCATAAAAAATAAAGAAGCAGTGATTTTTACATTCGGATTTTAATCTTCAACTTGACAAACGGGACCGTTTTCAGATTTAAAAAGGTTTGTGTGCGTACAGCTGGTAAAAAAACGAGTATGCAAACGATGCAAAGTGCACAGACTGAATTAGATTCGTGCACAAACCAGCTTGTGTGCACACGAGAAGTTTTACCCTCTCAACTCTGCACAGACAAACGCATCCAGAGGGGTCCAGCTGCAGATCATTGAAGAAACTTACAGAAAAACATAAGATCCAGTCAGCAGAACTGTTTTCTGTTCATGACTATAAAATCCAGTACGAGATCTGAACCTCACACACACACACACACAGACACACACAGACACACACACACACACACACACACACACACACACACACACACACACAGGTTTGTTTTGCTATCTTTATGGGGCCTTTGCATTGACTTCCATTCATTTTTCATTCATTTCTATAGCCTAACCATGACCTTTATCCATAACCTAACCATTACCAGTACATACCTAACCCTAAACCTAACACATCCTCAATTCACACCTTAGTCCTAAACCTAGCCCCTAACCCACCAACGGGACTTCTTCTTATGGGGCCCGGGCTTTGGGCCCCATAAGGAGCAGTTGGTCCTCACAATGCAGTATAAGTTGGAAAAATGGGCCTCACAAAGTAGCATAAAAAAGGACACACACACACACATTTACAGAAAACAAGAAGAAACTACAACTTCCTCCTGGTGGTTTCCTGTGGCTGAATGTTTTGTTCCGTCCTGAATGCGTGCTGCGTTTAGGGACAGGTGGAAAGCTGGTTCAAATGAAATTTCATCTAATTCACATCACATGATTTGTATTAACTGTATTTAACAATTTGTACTCTCAGGAACTGTTTCCAGTGTTAAAATTGTTACGTTTGTGTGTTAAATTTCTACACACAATATATACGTATTTGTAATGGTCGTCATTTGTGGACTCTGTGAGACGTTTTTCTCTCACTGACTAAAAACAGAAAAACAGGCTGAACGTCTAAATAAAGAGAGACATGTCAGTGAGCATGTTTTCTTCACACAACGTTGTGTCTTTGAGCACAACACAAGGGAAATGGACCTTTGAATGCAGCAGTGTCTCATGCAACAAGCAGGAAAGACAGCGGGGGACAGTTCACGTCTTCAGAGCAAAACCTCCAGCTTCTCTGTAGAGCGAGACTCAAGAAAATATATACGTAATTAAGTCCAATCAATTAATCAACTTTATTTATACCCTTAAGTAAACTTGGTTACAGTGAGGTGAGTCCGCTTTCTTGCCAGACAGGATACTCAGAAAAAGTATAAAACATAAAAATAACATGATTCAGAAATGATTTAAAAAATGGCCCGGTGCTATGCTAAGTTGAATTTTGGAAAATGTCCAAAATCTGCTGTCCAATCCAGGTAAATCCAGGTAACTTAGTAAGTGTCTGAATAATCTGATTTTATTAAAGAGCCCTACAAACTTTAAGAGACTCTGAGGGGTTGCAAAGAGGTCATCTGGTTCTGTTTTATTTCACCCCTTCAGGAGATAATAATAAATATTTCAGAGCCATAAATGCGTAACAAGAACTCCTCATTACGGTGCATACATGCTGAGATCTTCAAAAACAGCTGATTGTCTTTTAGAAGACTAAATAATCCAGTTTTCTGTTCTTATGGATCTGAATCAAACAGAACAAAGTATGCAGAGATGAGGACACCACTAAACACAGCAAACATAAGGTCCAACCCTGCAGAAGTTCTATGAAGGTCCAACCCTGCAGAAGTTTGATGAAGGTCAAACCCTGCAGGAGTTCTATGAAGGTCAAACCCTGCAGGAGTTTTAGGGTTAAAATCATGTAAATATTTTGATGTTCTGCTCCTCTGAAGTTTCTACGTGCTGCTATGAAACAGGAAATAGTTCTGGCACGTATTCCGCCCACAGATTAAACTTTTCATGCCAGCAACTTTTCCCAAACATGGCTAAAGCCTGTTACCTCTTCCTTTTTTTCTCAGGAGGCGGATTCCTTTCAAGCCGTGCACAGATGGTCCGTAACAAGTTGTGTGGAAATACCCGAGGTCAGCATCGTTCTCGCACTGAAGCAGCTAATCATACATGCACCCATCTCCCTGCGTTATCCAACAAACAATGCAGGCCACATACCCATACAGCCGGCGTGCGACCCTTGAAATCCAGCGTGGGGGTTTAGTTTTTCCACCCCCACTCTTGGGGGAGAGGAGATCGCTTAAGAAAGAAAAAAAAAAAAAGCATGAGCATTTCTTTGTCTGGGAATTCAGGGTCAGGTGATTGCTCAGGGGATTCTGGTTGGCTAGAAAGGACTTGCAAATGTTGGCAACGAGCCACAGGCTGTTTTGCAAGCATGGCTGAAAAGTTGCTGCGAACCTCATCTTCACCCTCATATCCACAGCGCAAAGTTCATTTCCACAGATGGGGGAGGGGTAAGGAGAAGAATGGCAGGGGGCGACACAGAGAGGAAAAGAAGAAGTCCACTCAGGACACAGAAAAAGTGCACAACCAGAAACTCTCTCTGTGCCCTCACCCTGCAGAAGCGCGCAACAGCAAAATGTTCTGGGGCAAAATCAGCTAAAACTGTCCTGACGCTCAATAATCCACGTAGATAAACCTAAAAAACTAAAGTCAGGTCCTCTGGATGATTCTTCTTCTTGAAACGTTTCGTCTTTTATCCAAAGGACTTCTTCAGTCGGAGGAGCTGCAACAAGCTCAGTCTTATAAACAGCGCCTTCTCATGGTGGATCAACCAGTTCGTTGGTGACATCCAGAACCAGCTGTTCACATGATCAAGGAGGACCATCAGCCTAACGACTGATCGTTAGTGCCAGTGAATCTTAAAAGCTAAAAGTGGCATACCTACAGAAAACAGAGCAAGTTTGCTGAGAGATTTGAATTGACTGGGATTTGAACCGGCAACCTTCTCACTGAGATGCAACAGCTCTACCAACAGAGCCACCGTGCTGCCCCATACTTCCGTCTATTTAACAAACTGATAAAATTGGGTGCGTTTTTGGCTGAGATTTATTATTATTCATAATAATAATATTATTATTATTATGAATAATAATAATAATAATAATAATAACAATAATAATATTATTATTATTACTATAACACACAGAGCCCAAGTGCTACTCAGTGTGTATGATCTTTGCATAAAGCTTAAGCAATTATTGTTATTGTCAATAGTGTATCTCTGTTAGCAAAATATCTCGAACCACTGGACAGATGATAATGAAACATTTGAGAAGTAATCAACTGATAAAGAGTTGGAGTCGATCTAATTAAAGACGACTGCCAACACAAGGACCACTACAACGCTGTCAGATTTACAGACACTGATTCAAATCTCTTGCAGTAGCTGAGAGTCATTTAAAGTACGTACTTTGAGGGTGACAGTACCACACGAGACTGTGTACAATACCTTTACAAGGTTTGCCCAAACAACTTGAACTCTTTTCATTCGAGATGCTGTTATAGTGTGAAACATGCAACATTAAAGAAGTACTGTCAGACATCAAAAGCACCGAGAACAAAGCAAAGCTGTTACTTTTTTAATACGGAAGAACGATGAGTCATGAAACAGATGTGAGCAACACAGATGCGTGCGACTCCTCTCACACAAAACATGAGAACAAGCCAACCTATAGAAATGTCACTGAAATAAATGGTACCGTCACGAGGCGTCAAATGACCCATCAAATACACCTGAACGCACCAGGAGGCCTATCTTAAACGCAAACGCTCCGGTCAGTCGCTCTGCAGGCTCTGGTGGCTGGGACAAAACCAGGGTACTCACCTCCATCTTCCACTTGGCCATCCACTCCTCCCTGGTCCGTTTGCTAATGTAATATGGGTCACCAGCCTGGAAGGTTATTCTGGGCATGGGCCTCTGACGAAGGCTGATCTCCCAACCAACTCCCCCTCGTTGCCTGCCTCGACCTCCCTGTTCAAGGTGTAAAAAGAAGTTAGCTGCTAGTTTTTGATTCCTCCGATGAGCTATTTTTATGTAGGAAAGTTAAACTGCTCGTCTAATCCCACACTGTAACTGGTTTACGGCAAGCTGTTTGTGTATTTATTCGATATCCTTGACATCAAGCATCATTTTTGCACAATAGTTCACAACTGCACAGCACTAGTTGGTGGCACAAATTCAACAAACTCTTAACTAGTAATATTTTTACCCAACTAGTTGACACAGAAGTCAAACTAGTCAGCAGTTTTTCTAAACTAGTAGCGCCAAAGTCCCAACCAACTGGCTTTTAACAGTTTATTAGTCACATCTTGCATCTGTAACATTTAAGTGTCTCAAATTGTTATATTTTTAAAACTTGCATTTTATTTAATGTCTTATTACCGGATGTTTTGTTCCATCTTGTAAATGAGTCCTCGAGGGGATTAACCAGTCTAAATAAAGGTTGACTGAATGAATGAAAAATATTTTAATATTACTGTTCCTGCTGGATTTGTAATGGCTCGTTTGCACCGTGCACATTGATCGGACATTCTTATAAGAGATTAATAATCTCAATGGATTTCTTTCCCGGTAAAATAAAGCTTTAAATAAATAAATTAGCCCAAACCAGTCCAACTGCTGTACAAATAAGCATAAATCTTTAGATAAATTAAAGATAGTCACAAAAGATGCATGCAAGATCACAAGCTCACCACAAGATTTACAAATGCATGAGCAGTTTTTCAAATTTATACATTTCAAATCTAACAAGTAGGAATATTCTGCACTTAAAAACTGTCAAATACCTGAGCACAAATCACCTGCTGCAGGTGGATCACTGGGTCAGCTGCCTGTGAATGTGAACTTTCTAACTGCTCCAGATTCACTAAGTGATGCTGCGTTCAAGGCTGGGGAAAAGATGGGACGTCTGAGCGTTCACAGATTTAATGAGTTATTGGGGAAAGACACACTTCTATCATGGCACAATACCTCATAACTAACATCTGTAATAAAACGCATATGCTTACAATGACATTACTGGATTCCAAAATAATACATTTTGTGGAAATAAACCTAAAATGGAGTACCGGTAGGTTATTCTTCATGTGGGAAATCTACCAAGAAAACTACACGTAATACTGTAAAAAGATTAAAAATAAATTGTACTTTTTTTTGTCTACACAATTAAATCCTGGAAATGAAAATTTCCAGTGATTTTTTTTTTTCACAAGAAGAATAACCTACCCATTTAGTAGAATCCAGAAAACTAACCATTTTGTCTTGTTGAAAAACTACCGGAAAAATCTAATTTCCGGTTTTTGTCATAAAAGAACAAAAAACTAACCATTTTGAGTAGTTTATTTAGAAATGAATGTCCACACAAAAAAAAAAGGTAAATTACATTTTTACAGAAGATTTCTACCAAAAAAAAAGTAAATTTTGTGGAATATACAACTCAAATAAACATCCCAAAATAGGTAGGGAATTCTTCTTGTGGAAAAAAACACACAAAAAAATAAATAAACGATAATAATAATAACAATTATTATTATTATTTATTATTATTATATAAATATAAATAAATATATATTTAAAAAAAATATATATATATAAATATTTTTTCCCCTTAGTTGGTTTTCCACATGAAGAATAATCGAGTCATGAGCTACTGTGCCCAGTTGCACATGTTTTTTCCCCATTAGCCCTGGATATCTGGTAAAGCTCAGATATCCTGGTTATTCACGAGCCTTAAACGCTGCATTACTAATATAAACTTAAAGTGGTAAGAAGGTGAAAACTCACATTCACAGGCAGCTGATCCATGCGCTCGTGTTGACCGACGTGTACACAGCAGGTAATTTGTGCACATGGATTTAGTCATTTGTACGTGCAAAATATTTCTACCCGTGCAATTTGAAACGTGGACGTTTGAAAAACTGTATATCATATTTTGTATATCAATTTTTCAAATTGGCATAAGCTGCTCCTGTTTTTGGGTTGGCCCGTATTTCTCTCCTAGAAAACGGGAAATATGCCGTTTGCCACTACAAAGATTCTCTGAGGGTCACCTCAGAATCATGGTAAGCGGACTACCCTGTCCTTCTGGTCTAAATAAATTAATTCATCAGATTAGAAATTTAGCATACAGGATAAATTCAAGAGTATTAAACTGGGTACTAGTGGGATTTGCTCGAAGGTGCTTCTGGTTCATGAGGGAGTTGAGAGAGAACCTCTTTTGGCTTGATGTGTGAAAGGTCTGAGGGAAGGTAGTGTTCACAAAGTCCCCAAGGGCTCTTGGGGATTAGAAGTCATCAGGAAGATTCCATTACCTTAGGTTAGTGAAGAAAGTGTATCCTGTGTAATCATGAAAATTAATCATTATAAAATTGTGCCTGTTGCTGTACCCCTGCGCAAATTGTTGATTAAAGCAAAGCAAAACGTATAAATCTGGACTATTATTTCACTCTTATTGAATAAAAACATGGCAACGCTTGGTTCACTTAACAACATCAATAGAGGAGGTTTTGAAAGGTTCATTAGTTACTGAGTGACAACACCCTTGTGCCCATTTCCAGGGCCCTAAAGATTACCAGAACAGTTAACAATTGCAACGCTAAAGTAAGAGGTGAGCGGCCACAACGTGAGTTTCTCTGGACCAGAAGATCCACCCCTGCTGCTTGGAGGTTCGAGGTAACAGAGTGAGATCAGGGTGTGACTCACGGATTTAAGGTCGTTAATATTCTGGATGAATCACCTCGTCGCAGCCTTAATGAGGCTACTTTAGACAGCTACAGGTAATACCCCGGCGCTGAAGTTAGTTTCCGGACCCCTTGGAGGAGAGGCTGCAAGCAAAGGTGCTTATCGCTACTTCCAGTGGTTACCTTTGCTTATCGGAAAGCAAAACAGTATTTAAGAACCTTGTGGACCTCATTGTACACATAAATCTTGTGCGCTCATGTGATTAATTTTGAGACTAATTCATCTCCGTAACGAACACTTCCATGTTAACTAGGCATCACAACGTGTGCCTAACAGACCACGAGTGACTGTCAAATGTGCACACTAGTAAACACGTGCAAGCTAAACATTTACCTGTTTGATTATTAAATGGTCACCAGTTGATCAGTTTCTACATCGAGTCTTTAAAAAATATCAAATAGTCGACTAGTGCGCCTAAAATTCACGACTAAGGCCCAAATTATCTTATGTCACAATAGTTAATTAACGTGCACACTTGGCAGTCGTTAGTTGAATAGTAGCAGGAGTTGTGTTGACTAGTTAACACGTAAAGGTTTTTAGTGTTTATTACAAGTTACTGTGCAGTCATAAAAGGGTTTGGTCTAGTGGTTCACAAACTTATATAAAATCCAAGTAGCTGGGACATTCAAGAGCCAATATTGTTCACCAGTAAGAGCATTTATTGGATTAGTGCGACCAAAGATGCAACCAGTGGCGTGCAGCCGCAGGCTAGTAGGCAAAATGATGCTTGACGTCAAGAATATTTAAAAAAATGCACAACCAGCTTGGCATACTCGTAGGCAATCTAATATTGGGGAAATCTAAATAAAAGTGATTGATTTAGTGAAGGGAGGCCACAAAGTCTAATGAAAACTCCTCACCAGCAGCATCAAGCAGCACCAACTGGCACGAAATGCTCCCAAGTGTATTTGATATTTCAGCTCTTACACCATCAGGTACCATTTTTTCCACAATGTCAAAGATTAAGCAACGACTAATTTGTTCAGATCTTTCAGTTATCTCTTCAAAATCTTCAAATCTAATAAAGATGCAAGTAAAGATTATTTTCAGTACAGATTTTAAGGCTAATATTATAGAAAATCACATTTAGTCAAAGCAGTATTGCTAAAAGAGTTAAATGTCTTAAGAAGAATGTTTATGAGGGAAACGTTGAAGAAGTACTGGCTGTTAGTCTCGTGTGCTGCTGACCATTTAACTTAGCACAGATTTACATTTCCTCTATGAAGAAACAACAAATCAATAATCAGATGTTTTGTGTTTACCACTGTTGTGTATGCATTGTTTTAATTTGTCGGAGTACATTTTAAAAATCAACCTGATAAACATCCACAGATAAAGATAAAGTTCTTGTCTGACGCGTCTTTGTAATGTTAGCAAAATATCTTGTGAGCCACTGAACTTCTTTCAATAAAACTCTCTGAAAAGAATCCCTGGATGCACAGCTACAAATTATTAACTTTTGGAATCAAACCAATTCAAGATGGTCACCACGTCTATTTATTGATTTATTTTTCTTCTTTCAGCTGCTCCTTCTTCAGGTCTCAACAGTCTCGCACGAAGACCTGGTGATGGTTTTGACACTGGAGGTCCTTCCTGACACGACCACAGACACCGAGCTACCACAGCCTCTGTGTGGAGCAGAGAGCTGCATCCAGGGCGCCCGGGGAGCAGATGGTGGGGGTTAAGGGCCTTGCTCAAGGGCCCAGAGTGGGACAAATGAGGGTGGAGACAGGTGTGTTTCACCTTTCCCACCCACGTTTTGATATTGTTAGTTCAGGGAGTCAAACCAGCGACCGTCTGATCACAGGCCCACCTTCTCTAACCTCTGAACCCCCGCCCAATGTTAGAAATCATAAAAATGGCTACAACTCTGTCAAATATACAGAAGCAGAGATAAAATTAGCAGTAGCTAAGATTGATCATAAACAGATTCTTTGAGCGTCAACAGATTCTGAAATAACACTTTTTATAACTTTGACAGTAACTGTTGCTCTTAACTTTATTACTCAGACATCCTGTACAGTAAACCACTTGATAAGTGATAGTATTCCTTCAAGGAATACTGTGTTTTTGGTTATAATCATGGGTGAAAAGCAAACGACAAAACATTTGAGCAACTCTGAGATGACTGACGTCGACAACGTACCAGAACCTGATTGACTGAGAGCAAACAATGTTTCATCACTTGTACGGTAAATGTATTTTTGATTCCTCTAAAAAAGCAACGATTATTGAGTCTGCAACAAAGAAGCCAAGTGTCATACTGTCAGCCAGAGAAACACTCGGACTGGAACAGGAAACCCAGGTCAGTCTCCAAAACACGGAGCTGCTGACCTCCAAAAGATGATGAGACATTCAAAGTAACATCAGCCACAGATGTATGGAGATAAATCAGTCTCAAAAGTAGTTGCACAACACATGCACTTTTATTGACAATACTACATTAAAAACATGTTAATTTTGTACGGTTGAGAAAAACAACCTGAAATGTGTAGGTTCTTAATGTGGAAAATCTGTTGGCAAAACTATGTTTATACATATATATATATACAGT